GGGGGGGGTTGGCCCAGGAAGCCACCTGCCCCCCGGGGGGGGGGGGGACTTTTTTGCCTTTTCCAGCCTCCAGAGGCTTTCTCTCGAGCCTCCAGGAGGGCGAAAACAACCTCCCCCAGCCTCTGGAGGCTGGAAACAGGCCCATTTCCTGCCTTCCGGAGCCTCTGGGAGGCCTGTTTTTTGCCCTCCCCTAGCCTCCGCACGGGCCCTGCACTTACCTGGCATCCAAAACAGGCCGCATGGAGATTCCTGGGAGGGGAGGGGTGGACGGGGCCAGTCAGGAGTAGAATTTGGGGGTTCGCCAAACTGCGGAGAATCTTCGCTATAGGATCATCCGAACTCAGGCAAACCTGGAGCAGCCCACCCCCGGTTGAGAGAGATCAAACCCAAGACCCTTTTCATGCAAAGTTGGTGTTTTGCCATTGAACAATGGCCTGTTACTGCCAAAAAAGAGAGGTCTTCTCACCTTCAGAGAGCCCACTTTCAGAACCTCCCGTCGTGAAGGAGACACTTACTTACTAACATCAAGCAAGGATCCTCCATCTCGATCCGCTGGATTTGAGCTCTTAGAAAGAGAGGGAAATTTATGCCCTCCGCTTGGGATGGAACAGAGAAGAACCGATCAGGAATCCAAGTGGCAGCCTGGGCTAATTCTTCTGTGAATCCCAAGTTGCCAAGGATGGTCTCAGCATCAATCTGACAGAGGTCCAGCACTTCTGAAATGCTAAAAGGGAGATGACGGCGAGAGGCTGAATTCAGGGAATGATTAATCATTGGCTTTTTTTTTTTTATTTCAGTGTCTATAGTGCTCTTTCCTTCAGTTTATCTCCTCAACAAGAACTCCAGAAGTTATTTCACCTGGAAAGGCATGACTTTCCCAAAGTCACCAATTAAGCTTCACAGCTGAGATTGGACTTGAATCAGATTCTCCCCAGTCCTATACCAACACCTCAACCTCTACACCACATTGGTGGTCTTATAGAAGCTTTTTTTCGCTTAATTGTATCCTTACAATAGGTTGTGAGATATGCTTGTCAAAGATGAAGTGATGGAATGTAGTGAGGAAGGAAGCAGAGGCCAGGGAGAGTGGGGGTGCGTTCCAAGGGAATAAGAGACACATCTCTGTTGTGGCTCGGTAGGAGCCTTTGGAGCTACTATCAGAGTGACACAGAAATCTCCTGGGAGTGGTTTCAGGATGCTCACAGGAGCAGATAACAAGCAGCTGGGGCTTGTTAAGGATCTCCTCCTGTGGATAAAAGACTGATGGTGCCACGCCTTAGTTGCAGAAGTCAACGTCATTCATTAGTTCCGTTCCATTCCTGTTCTAGTTNCAATATTTGTTTCATTAAATATACTAATGAAATTTTTCATGTATTTTATTTGAAACGTAGATAAGGTGGACTCAAGACATCTGCTCCCTCCTAAGCATACCGATGAGCTACAAATCTGTTAGTGGTGTCCATTTTGCTCTCTGAATTCATGGGTTACCCTAGCCCAATGGGATTTTCCTATGACTTTTACCTGGAAACGTAAATAGGATGAACTCAAAAAGCCCTCTCCCTCCTAAACATACTGAGGCATTACAAATCCTTTGACAATGTCCATTTTTGTTCTTCAAATTCATGCTAACCCCAAAGGGGTTTGCCCCGCAATGTATCTTATCAGGAAATATAAATAGAACAGGCTAAAAAAGTAAGCACCCTCCTAAGCATACCGATGCCCTTTCTGTAATTTCTTTTCTTTCTGGTGTCAAGTTTAAATATATTTCCTAACTATTTTAGAATTGTGGTATGCTTTTTCAATCATTGAAAAAAAATCACCCATCACATCACCCTTATCAATCAATGATCATTTTAAGAAGTCTCATATGTGACCATAAAGAAAAGCCCCAATCATTTTAAAAAAATTCTCTATTTCTAGCAATATTCCATTTGTTAATTGAATGAATTACTACTCCTTCTTTGTTCCCATGCCTGATAAAATAAAATTTTACACAGAGAATTATAGTAAGTTATTTACAAATCTACATTATTTCTCTTACTATTAGTGGGGAGGAATGGGGAGATCATAGCTGCATTAATTTTGCATTACTACAGTACTTTCCTGCAATATTTGTTTCTATTTCATACAAATGAAAATATACTACATTTTAGGTTATCCTGCTAAAAATCTACCTTTTTATAACTATTAATGAATTTAAAAATTGTGACAAAACATTACTATATTTTTCCATCACACCAATTATCGTAGTTTTGGGCTTCTTTGTAACTGTTAGACAAGCTACACCATGAATAGACACTGGATTCACAAATCTACATATTCTTCAGCATGGTTTTTTTTTTAAGTAGGGCTTCCTGGCTGGGTTTGCACATCATGATATAAACCATGGTATGTAAACACTAATTTTATACAACACATTAAAAAAAACCAACAATCCACATTGCTGTAAAGTGTCTTGTGAATCCAAAAAGGAAGCATTGCAAAAAGGAAAAGGATGCTGATCAAACTAGAGTGAAAAGAAAAGGGGAAAGAAACAGTTCAGAAGGAAGTAAATGAATTTAGCATCATTTTATACCCCAAAAGAGACTAGCATAATAGGTACTGTGTGTATGTTTGTAGGTATGTACAGTATACTGTATGCTAAGATAAGATATGAGAAAATAATATGGAAATAAAGCCTGCACACAGTATCACATGGCTCTACTTTATTCAAGGATACAATTATTTGGTATTTGGGGTACGTAAGTGGTCTTATTATATTGTAGCTGGAGGAAAGAAAGATTTAAAATGGGAAACACTAGAATTTCAAATTAAGTGCATTAACTGTACTAGGGAAGATTTTAAAGTGCTACAAATATACATATCACTTGAGTTTAGTTAGGCTTCCCTCCTTCAAGTCATACTTGGTTTATTGGGATTCAATGTATGAATCATGTGTGAACCATGATTTCCAACTTATAGTTGAATAACACATATCAACAAATCATGATTATAACAAACTATGTTTAACCTAAGGTGTAAATCTAGTATTTTTCTAATTTATCCCTTATACTATGTCCTTGAACTTTAACTCAGAATGTCTCAAATCGCAAAAGAGAATAAATTGTAGTATTTGGCCCTGCCAATGTTAACTGTTACACAACATAAATACAGAGATACTTACAAGGCCGGCTTGGAATAATCATAGAAGGACAATCTTCATCACGCATAACTTGAGTTACAGACTGAAAGTCAAAATAAAAGCATAAGCAGAAATGCTGAAAAACCTTATCCATTTTTAATGCCAAGAATCAAAAAGTTATTATAAATTATTGGTTAGAATTTCAGTGAGAACTATGAAGTTCATGTCTGACTGGTATCTATTAATGGTAAAAAGAAGCCAGGAGGTGTCCTGTCATGACTTTGAAGAGAAAATATTTGAGCAAGTAGCTTTGACCTAATTTCAGAATTAAATTACCTTTTAATAGAATAAGTGTAATGAATTTAGGACTGAAATTCAGGCTTTGTAAAAGCTTTTCAATATGAGATAATTGGAGAAGAATTTAATTTTTGAAAGTCTAGAGTAAGTTGCTTCAAACCAGTGACCTGGCTGAAAATCAATTAGTTAATTCCAATGACTTATACCTTTTGCTTTATCCTATCACTGAAATAAGTACTTCCTAAACTGAATCGTCAAATGAGGATTCAAAAAGCCAAAATAGCAGTTGAAACTACATGACCAAAGCATCCCATTTTTGTATTTGCACTAATACTATAAGATCAGTGGTGGGTTGCCAATTTTTTTACTACCGTTTCAGGCGTGTTCCTGNCCCGCTCCCAACCCAATCATCTAATCACTTCATTTTTCATGATAGCATGCCAGTAACAAAAGTTTTTTTTAAAAAAAAATAAAGAAACTATTTCATAAAGAGGTGATCTACGGTGAAATACAAAAGTAGTGAGGCATGGTTCTAACAGAATGAAAGTCTTCTCTACAAACAAAATTGCTTTTGCTTCAGGGAAGATAGAATTGGCGGTTTAATCTCTGCTAGGATTTGCTGCTGCTTTCAACTGAATCATCCCACTGTTTACATTTTCTGCACCAAGGCATGTGAAGCCACTGTGTGGTGAGACCTAGAGCGCCTTTGAAATCTAAGTTTCTTCTTTCTAAGTTTTTGCTGTGATTGTGAGTGAAATATTTTTATAAGCAATAATAGAGTACTGTAGTTCAGGACTTGAGGCTTAAAGAGATCTTTACTACTTTGTCAAAACTGAGGCCTGTTTCCAATTGTTAGCTACATCATAGCCTGAAATTTGAGAAACTAATATGGCTTTAAAAGATGCTACTAGCCATGTCTGTAAAAAGAGTAAGTAGGACTTTTTTTCTAGTAGGCTGATCAACAAATGAAAGGAAATAATACAATCTAAACACCAGGATTTATAAATAATGAACTTTGCTTATTATAAGTACAATGACCATATTTCCTTGAAAAAAAACAAAGGATAAATCTGAAAAAGGGAAATAAAAGAAGCTCATAAGGATAAAAAAAAGTTTGTTTTACAAAAAAAAAATCAAAAGCAGAACCAACAAACTAAATCATTAAACAAATCTAAATCATTAAATTTATTAAAACTAAATCATTAAATAAATCTTCAGGATAGCTTTTTGAAATAAAGGACTATCCTTTATAATAAAGGACATAAGAACACTGAAAGTATACGCAAGAAAGCAACTGTATTTGTCATGTCTCTAACCTAGCCTGAATATGTCTTTACTATTTGACAGGAACCACGAAAGAAGAAGATAGAGTAGCCAGGTTTTGAGATTGGGTCATAAAATAGTTGCTTAATATAATAATGTAAATCAGTAATGAATTCTGATCATCACAACAATTAACTGAACATGATTTTTGCCTTAAAATAGATGCAAAATAATATTTTTGTTTAATTAATTGTTATATAGATCTAAGCAAATGTAATCCAGAATTGCCAAAATTGTCCTCCATGCATGCTAGACATTCCAGTTCATTATTGCATGCTTTCCAATACTCTTAAAAGTTCTTGAGTGTTTATTTTTGGTTACTTGGAGCTTCTGGGATTCAAACTGAAGTTGATTAGAGAAGATGCATGAAAAGCAAACAGCAATATTGATATCAATAAATAGCATCAATATAATTGGATTAAATATTCAGCCATTTTACTTTCATAATCACTGCAAAAATATGGATCTACAATATTACTCGGGAATACTGTTATGATATAATTATTTTTGTAGATAAGGAATACATATTCCATTTTCTTATTGGTATTGCCTATATAATGTACCACTTCGTTTTTGTTACCTATTGGCTTTTTTTGTTACCTACTAAAAATTACTATAANCCATCCTTCTGAGGTGGGTAAAATGAGGACCCATATTGTTGAGGGCAATATGCTGACTCTGTAAAACCACTAAGAGAGGGCTGCAAAATGCACAATGATGTCGAAGTGTTATTGCTATTGCTAAATTCAACTACCTTGGTTAAAAAAAAACAGAGACACAAAGGAACCCATTTCTCCCACTACGGGGTTAAGTAGTGCAGACAAGTACTGCAAGCAGCAAACAGATATGGAGACTGACCTTATGGGACGGAAAAGAAAATGAGATCTACATATGAACCAAGGTCATGCAATTCATGACCTCCTTTAAGTTTGCCCTTCTCACTCTTTCCTTGCCTTTACTAAAATGTTCTGGACCAGAGGGCTAATTAGATCCAACCAGTGATGGTTCTTCTTTTTACATATAGACACTTAACTATTCCATTGCACTAAGTCTTAATTACAATGTGTTATATTGTTCAGTGAATTGCAAATGCAGGCTTGTTTTAAAATTACAGAAAATTCCAGTCAAGGAATCAAGAATCTAGGCATACTATGTTTTCAGACACAGCTGGTGTTTTAGAGTGGTTAAAGTACAATGGAGGAGATCAATGTTCAAAACCATTCTCAATTATGTATTGGGTTGATTATCACTATCTGTCAGTCCACCGTGCCTCAGAGAGTTGCTTTTGTAGGGATAATATGAAGCAAGTGGCCCACTTAAGGTACCTTGAGCACCTAGAGGTTATACAGGATATATATTCAATAAATATAAATAGAATAAATTACTTTTTAAGTGTTTAGAGGATTGCAATCGGTATTGTACTTTGAGGAGATATTTTAATTTTGGAGGCTGACTTCTTAGCACTAGAAACTTTAGCAATAGTTTTGCTATAAGTCATCATGGAGATAGTCACACAGATATAAATTTGCCATTGATGTTTTTTTATTCTAGACTGATAAAATGCATCTATACTCACCTTGCGTGGCTTAGTAAATCCAGGCTTGCAAAACTGTTTGTAGTACTCCCAATAACTTCTGTAGGAAGATTGCATTTCTATGTAGGTTGCAAATCTGTCTGGGCACTTTGAAACACAAAGCTTTTAAGACAAAACCAAAAACCTGATTGAAGTAGCAGTGTAGGATGAGACAGTTAGGCATATTACCAAAAGACCTATACAAAAATCTGTCATCTCTAAAAGTGCTCTTTTTTAAAGAGATTGTTTGCTTAGCAAAGCACGTATACAATATACACATATAACAATTTCTTCCTCTATTTTGTAATATCTTCTTTCAATGTCTTCAGAATTTCTCCTATGTTTCTTCTTGTTCTAAGTATGGTATCTCATAAATAATTTTAAAAATTAACTTTTAAATAATACTCCCCAAAAGAAGACATTTTTGTATCTTGTGCAGCGATTAATCAAAGTGAATCTGTGAATCAGGCATACATAACCTTTGGCAGGCAAGGGATATATTTTTCTCCCATTATGTATTGTCAAGAGTCACATGTCATTATTGAAGTGGTATTTTATCATTTTTGTTATTGTAATGTAATCCTACTGTGGGTAAAACAATTACTTTCTTTATTTTCTTTATAAAAATCTCTAGGAAATCTTATTTCCAAAATCTGGAAATGAGCCACAAAATGTTGGTGATGTGACCCTAATCAACAAAACAATTCAGATAGTATTCAGATAGTTAACAGCTTTTGTCCTTAATTTTTAAAATTAATTAATTAATTAATTAATTAATGGTAAACTATTTATTTAAAATGATTATCCTGAATGGGTTATTTATTACATACATAAGGATTCTTCCAATGTAGTACAAATGTAATGAGTTCTCTTCTTGCTCATGTAGAATTGTGCATATAAATATTAATCAAATAAAATTTTTGTAATTTCTCATCTTAGAAAAAAAATTCTGATTACCTACATAAAATTCTAGAGCTAAGTTATTGTCAGAATCTCTACTCATAGTATATATTTAAGGAAAAACAGAAGGGCTTATTTGCTATATTGTCTTCCCCAAAAGCTACTGATCCAGTGAGTTTCCAATATATGTACAGTTAGTTTCCAATATACAATATGCAAGATTGTGCAAGGTTATTTTACTATCATTGTTTTGCTATAGCCCCTTAAGTCTCTATCTAGAAAACATGAGTGAACAGTAAATATGGTGATAATATGAAGAAGCAACATAAATGATCATTACCAAAACATCGTTTCTAGAGAGTCCCATTCTAACTTCTGCCTGTTAAAATCACAATACTTAGTCCTGTACTCAATGCATGTTTTTCTTTCTTAAATGATATTCTAAACAGAAACTTTCCTTTCTATCTTATCAATATGTCTCTTCTGAGAATACAGAATTTACATCTAACATTAGCATTTACTTGATGTATGTCCAATTCATAACACTTTTTATTTTCAAAACAGCTGTATCAAGATATAATCTGTGTATTTTTGGCTATGTGTTACATACCTGTGTTGTAGGGCACTGTAGGTTTATTAGCACTATAGGACTGGCACATTTCAGAATATTAAAATAAAATAAAATTGTTTTGTTCCTACAAAACAGATAAAACGGTTATTTTCACTCCATGTATATGTATATCAATAATTAATAATTAATGGAATACATAAATATATTATACACATATTAAAAATTCACTCCCAAACCACTGCCTGTAGGGATTCCTATTATAGTACACATGAAGATTAATTTTGAGAAAATTGTTCTTTCCCTGTGCAATAGGATAGATAGCAGCAATTCATGCTAATTTAATCATACTTTTCACATTAAGGTTTTATCACATATCCAATTTTCCACTGTGCAGTAAATTTATCTTGTACAGTTACTAAGTTTAAACACACACTACATGGTATCATGAAACTGGTATTTTTTATAGTAATCACAAGGTGGCACTAAAAATCAATGAAGAATTTGTTTGTATGTAGAAACCTATAGACCATATAAAATCCCAAGAACACCTTTTCATAAGTATAGATCATTCTTATAATGAAAGACTACAATGAATTATATAGATATAAAACACACAGTGGACTTAAGCAGAGGGCAAAAATGTTAACCCATTAATTTTTTTAAGATAAGTTCCCATTAGAAGTACCCTGAATTTCAGAAAGAGTGGATATAAAATATCAACAAATTAAATAGTAAATAATACTGTGTTTTTAATCAAGCTTCTATCAATGATCTAAAAACATTTAGAACTAATATTCCACTATACAAAAATGATTAAAATGGCAGATTAAAACTAGGAGCAGGGACATCCAAGTTTAAGTGCAACTTCAGTCATAGAAATCCACTTGATAACTGGGCCAGCCATTCTGTCAGAATAATAGAATAATGGAGTTGTAAGGGACCTTAGATTCTTCTAGTTTAACACCCACCCTTGCTCAAGCAAGGAACCCTATACCATTTCAGACAAATGGTTGTCCAATTCCTTCTTAAAAACCTACAGTGTTGGAGAACCCACAACTTCTGGAGGTAAGTTGTTCTGCTGATTAATTGTTCCAATTGTCATGACATTTCTCCTTAGTTCTAGGTCTTTGATTAGTTTTCATCCATTACTTCTTGTTCTGCCTTCTGGTGCTTTAGAAAATAGCCAACATAATTTACAGGTTTGCTGTTACAGAGTTCCATCTTAATGTAAGCCATTTAAATCCGTACAGAAAAAGATGAGATTTGAATCCAACAAATAAGGGAAAAATAAAAGATACGGCAGGCTGCATTTCCTCTTTTTTGAAAGCTGTGGAGACCTTTTTGGCTGTTTCTTTAGCATGGTTTGGCAAAAAATATTTGATGCATTGAAAAGGGAATTTTCCAACCCCCTTTAAAAAGTTAAGAAAAAAAATTCATATTCATCTATATGGCTACACTGTATCATTATACTTTCTAATAGGAGCAATGTCTGATGAGATGAACTAAATAAAGAGTTCTGTAAAGTGTTCTGGCTATCGCTTCTTGATGTACACAGTGAGTATTCAACTAGGACTCTTTAAAATTGAAGTTCAGATTGATAGATTCCAAATGCACACTGCAATGAAATTCATACAGCTGAGTGGCAATCTAATTGGAATTGAAGTATTTTCTATTTGCTGATAACACAGAGAAAGCACTACAGAAGAGTAAAGCCGTGGCTTCTTTTTCAGACTATCACAGTATTATCTTCTAATATATTGGTTTATATGGAGATTAACAAGGAGATGAATTGACGTAAATAAGTTCCCTCACAATGTACTTAACCCAAAGGATGGAATTAATTCTGTTATTTTAGTTCAACATCATCCCTTCCTGAAAAACTACGAATGTTGAAATTGTTTCAAAACAACAAAAATTCTAAAATATTTATCCTGTATAGAATTTGTTGAACCATCGGAACTATTATTTACATTTTATTGCTCTGTGCCAAAGCACTTCAAATAGCAGTAATATAAAGATTAGCATGTCTCTTCAAATTTAACTACTCTCAAGATATGAATTAGAGGCAGCTTCTGGGTTTTATAAACCATAAATCTTTAATCCATATCAGCAACCGGTCAAATTTCATAAAAGCTTTTTACATGAAATTTTTATTTTTGCCTCCCAACTAGCTTACCAATATCTTCATACATAATGAATTCTAAAGTTGTAATTCAAAAAAGAATGAAATACGCAGATAAGCCTTGATGAGGGCTGAAAATGGGTCCAAAGGATTTATAGTACAATCTTCACATAATATATATATGGAGTCTGCCAAGTTCCGGAAGGCTGATGTATCATGCTACAGACTTATTATACTTTAAGAAAAATTATATTAAAATGCCACTTGTTTATAGCCCCTATAAATACAAAGAAACAAGTGTATTCTTGAATAGAGCCGAGGTGACACAGTGGTTAGAGTGCAGTACTGCAGGCCACTTCAGCTGACTGCTATCTGCAGTTCGGCGGTTCAAATCTCACCGGCTCAGGGTTGACTCAGCCTTCCATCCTTCCGAGGTGGGTAAAATGAGGACCCAGACTGTGGGGGCAATATGCTGACTCTGTAAACCGCTTAGAGAGGGCTGAAAGCCCTATGAAGCGGTATATAAGTCTAACTGCTATTGCTATTGCTAATAACCGAAGGTCCTGAGGCAAACAGATACAAAACTCGTCTTAGCCATGAAAACCATTTGGGTGACTTTGGGACAGTCACTCTTTCTCAGCCTAACCCACCTCACAGGGTTGTTGTGGAAAAAATAGGAGGAGGAAGGTGTGCTGAAGATGTTTGCCATCCTGAGTTACTTGTAAAAACAATAAAGGTGGAATATAAATAAATAAAATTAACATACAATATCTTTGTATACACGCTGTATTAATCCAGGATTTTCAAGAACTCTTGATGTACTACATTAACTGCTCCTGTTTGGGCTCTTCAAAAATTCCTTCCGTGGTCTGCTTATCACATCATTTCAACATATATGACATTATTTGGGGGGGGGGTGTAATTTTAGGGTTGGAATGGATATAATTTGCTTTCTACAGGTGTCTAGTTCCCATTTCGATACCAAATCCCAGGAAAAATTGACTACACATCTTTAATCCTATGTCTAGTGACATAATCATGGCCTCCTTTAAGCCTTTGGAAAGGTTGGGAAGCAGAGTTACAGCCCCTGACAACTTAAATGTTTGCCATATGTATCAATTTAAGCAAGCAAGAGAGCATTCTTGCCAGTTTCAGCTTCTGGCATATGATACTGCCTGAATAAAACATGACAAACTTACAGAAATAGGAAGCAGTCAGCTGTGCTTGGAAATTACTTTTCTCTCAGAATGACATAACAATTTCTCCACTTGACATCTTATTTAAGTATTCAATTTATGTTGGCTAATCAGACCCAATGCATCTTAGGTTTACAGTCACTTGGATTCATGATGTAACAGTTACATATCTAAGTGACAGACAGTGTCTGGGCTGAGCAGTAACTTGCTTTGAAGTCTGAGGGTTTTTTAAAAAAATAAATCTTAATTGGAATCCCAATTTTAAAAACCCAGTGAATGAAAGCAGAAGCCACCTGCACGCTTTCAGGAAGACATCTGTAAAAAATAGAAAATGAGCTAATAGTTCTGCTGCATGTGAAGAGGACCCAGATGCAAAGGAATCCAGTACTTACTCATTCGGTGTATCTTTTTGACCACAGAACTGCCCATAGCTATCAGTTGGATAGGCTACTTTTCTTGGGTCACCATGTACCCAGGCTGTAAAATGGAGAAGGAAAACAAGAAAGCATCAAGTCATTTCGGTTAGAATTAAACTTTGCTACTCATTAAAATGCAATTCCTGTCATGAACTGTTTTAACCTCTCCCAATGGATACTTAGAATATTGATTGCTTCTTAAACAGTCGCCTTTTTTTAATGAAAAAATATGGAGGGGTTACAAAGCAAAACATCTTTCTCTCCTGTTTCCCCCTTTTATATCAGAATGTATCTGGCTGGCAGCCAGAAAATGAGGTAATGCACTTAGAAAATGACAGTTATTAAAATGAGGAGAGGGATGCATTACAAAAGCTTTGTTGGCATAAAGCCATACAGTAGTATTGAGCCAAGCTAAATACACTCAACTGACTTCATGCATACTTCTGAGCTGCCTTCTGTACACAGAATTGTATGAACCAATTAAAATACGCTGTCAGATCCCAGTTTATGCAAATAAATTTGACTCTGATCCACTATAATTGCTGCAGTCTCACACTCCTCTTCATTTAATGGGGTTAAATGTAGAAAAATTGAAATCAAATCAAGCCAAAATCAAAATCTTCTCTAAGGTTGTCAGGAATTGGAATCATAAGGCATGAAAACACCATGCCTTGATCTTTGCAGGCCAAAGGTAGAAGGGACAATGTAATGTATAGCTCCCAATAGCCCAGGTTTGTTTTGTACAGCTGGATTAAGGTAGAGTTTTGTTTCCTTACTTTTATTTAAATATGAATTTTAAAACATATTTAATTCTGTCTTCATTTCTACACACATTTCATTATGTGCAGAACATATCAATATTGTGTTAGTGAATTTATTTTTCTTTCAGATACTGAGAGTTTGCTTTATGCTATATCATATTATGAAGTTTGACACCTGTGAAAAATGGCACTTGTGAAACATTAATACAGCAGTGGTGGGTTCCGGACCCTGGCACAGCCAGTATGCTGCACATGGGGCTGGACATCCTAGATGGGCACGAGCGCTGCATGCACATGCGCACGCCACTGCCCTCCGGCATCCAGCTGCCTGGCGGAGGTCACCCAGGTGCCGCACACTATGTTGTATGCACAATGGGAGTAGCCGGAAGCAGCAGCCACCGTACCGATACGGTGGCTCATTTAGCCCACCGACCCACCCGCATTCTATGGTCGTTTAATACTACGAGCGGCCCATTGCGCATACAACATAGTGTGCGGCACCTGGGTGACCTCCGCCAGGCAGCTGGATGCCGGAGGGCAGTGGCGTGCGCATGTGCATGCAGCGCTCGTGCCCATCTAGGATGTCCAGCCCCATGTGCAGCATACTGGCTGTGCCAGGGTCCGGAACCCACCACTGCTGTATTAATGTTTCACAAGTGCCATTTTTCACAGGTGTCAAACTTCATAATATGATATAGCATAAAGCAAACTCTCAGTATCTGAA